AAATAGCTGACTCAACCACTTTGAAGCATTGAAAAAGGGCCATCATCACCATGGTTGTCGTCGTCGTTGGCAACAGGACAACAATGCCTGACGACCCACCGCTACTGAGGATCAAAGACGGAACTACGAACCACGCTGGATCCATGGTGGTGACTATGTCCCTCTTGCTTCCTATAAAGACTCCTTGCTCCTTCTTTTCTATCTTTTCTATCGCCCTCCTTCCCTTCCCCCATTACCCTAATTCATAATAGTGTCCGTTCTCCCCTTCCCCATTTCCCCTGATTAAGATTTGTAATAAACTGGTTGGACCAACATTTGAACCGTTGCTTCTTAATCTCACGCCGGGTATATAGATAATAAAAGAACCTCCTCTCCCTCCTATAAATTGGAGCGAGACATTTATTTAATGGCGTAGTCGTTGCAGGATACCCGCTGTGAGAGTGTTGTCCTTCCAGATATAGTTTGAAACTTTTTTTTCTGTGTGCACCTCCTGGAGTTGCAAGGAGCGATAGTTTTGAAAATTTAGACGTGAGTCCTTCTCCAGGAAGACCGCTCCATATTCTGAAACTTTACTTTTTATGTGTGTACCTCTCGGGGACGTATTTTGACTATTTGCATTTTGATTAATACGTGTGTGCCTCCTCGGGAAGACCTCTCTGGTTATTTGGTAACTGAAGTGCGAAATTTGGTGTGTCTGCGTGCTTGCGCCTCTTGGGGAAGTGAGGAAGTGATATTTTGTGACTAAAACGTGTGTGCCTCTCCAAGAAGTTTTATTTACTACATTGAAACCTAGAAAGTGTTGCTTTAGCGTCACATTTTTTGTGCTCCCCCAAAGAAAGGGAGGAGTGATTGGAGCATTTGCATTTGTTTAGGTGTGGTGTATCTCCCTGGGAGGAGAGGTGAGGAGTAACTGAGCTTTTGAATACGTGTACCTCCTCCTCCCTTAGTATAGATCTTTCCTTGTATTAAGAAATGAGTAACAGTATTGTCAGTATGAAAAGTGAAGATGTGTTATTTGACCTTTTAGAAAAGCATGGTGCTCGTCCCTCTTTATCAGGGGTGGACTGGGCACGCCAAAATTGGCATAATTTGCAGAGTGTTTCGGACCGTATTAGTATCCTGCAAAAGAATGCTCGTACCCGAGCTGGAAAAGGGAAGTCGTTTATTTGTGCCGTACTCGGGGCTACTTTAAAAGCAGCCGCGGAGTTCCGAGATGAAAAGCATTCGGCAGAAACCCAAACTATACAAGCACTGGAGGAATCGGTTAAAGTAACACAAGAATTGGTGAAAACTCTGCAGAATCAAATAGTGAACCTTGAGTAACAATTAGAAAGAGAGAAATGTAATTCGGCTTTGTTGCAAATGGCTTTTAAGGAACTGCTAACGTGTAGGCATGCCAGCCATACCGTCACCCATAGTTTGCCTCGAGAAAAAACTTTTCCTCAGGTGGAACTACCAGGAATGAAGGAAAGGCTAGATAAATTAGAAACTCCAATAGCCCCATTGCGTCCTTTGAGAAAAACTGAATACATATTCGATAACAGTGAGGATCTAGATCCTCAAATGAATGTTAAAGAAATTCCCTTCTCAGCCACTGAACTAGCGAAATTGAAGAAAGATTTCAGCCGCTCTCCAAAGGAATCTGAGACAGAATATGTATGGAGGGTTAGTCTCACTGGTGGTGACCAGATTCGGTTAACAGAAAAGGAAGCAGAGGGTTATTGGGACCAGAAGTATTTTTAACTACTGGTAACAATCGTGCTCCCTGGTCCTTAACGCAAAGGGCTGCCTATTGGGCAGGTGGTCTCAACCCTTTAGAAAGGGGAGACCCTCTTGCCATTACTGGAACAACTGATCAGTTAGTAGAGAGTGTTCAAAAGGCTGCTTGTCTCCAAATGATGTATGATAGAAAGCTGCAGCCACACCATGAATCACCTATGATGATGCCTGTTGATCCTGAGAGAATGACTGCTTTAATTAGAGGGCTTCCAGAGTCGTTAAAACCTATAGGGATACAACTGCAAGGAAAAATAGAGGCTATGTCTCAGGGAGAGAGAACCCGTCCAGTGTTAAAAGGAACTGTAACCCCCAACCATCTGCAGTCAGGAAACAAAGCATGGACGTGGGGAGAGGTTGCCCAAGAGTTAATTAACTATGGAAGGAAATATGGGTCAGTGGTTTCTTCCTCCATTAAATTTGAGCCAAGGCAAGTACGACTTGCAGCAGTCAGCCTTGCCCCCAGGCCTCCTAGCTCAAAACTCAGTGGGACTGGAAGGGTCTCACTGTCAGTAAAAACAGGTAGGCGAAATATTGACCATAAACGTAATTGTCTCTGGACACTGGGCTGGCAAAAGGGTGTTCCACGAGAGTTGATGAACGGATTACCCACTGTCAGGTTAGAGAAATTAGTTAACTGGTGGCCAGAACAAAAGATCCAGAATCTTGAGGAAAGCAAAACCCCAGGTCCTAGGGTCTCTCCCAGGGAACCTGAACGGCTATCCAAACCATTAGAAAACTGATGTTTTCGCCCCTCCCAAGTGAGCGGGGTGGGGGCGGTGAAGGATGGATGCATGAGAAAGCTCACAACAAAGGGAAACAAGATCGTCGATTTAACACCTTTTGCTAAAGGTCTCACCACTCTTGCCAGTTATCCCTGTGAGTCACGATCCAGTGGCTGATAAGCCAGGGAAATACTTTTACCTCCCTGGCCAGACTGTGTCTATTGACTCAGTTAGCCTGAGGCCAGTTTCCCCTAACCTTAACAGGATTCTCACAAGCACATTCCTGGGATCACAAGGAAATAGAAATTCTGACTAAGGCAGGCTGTACAGATGACGAAGGGTGAATCAGGACTTAGCCTGTTGGATATCTTTGATGAAAAGACTAGATTTGTGGACAAACAGTGAACAAGGAATATCATTCACACTGACTTCGGTGAGGCTTCCAATACACTCCTAAAATGCCTAAGTGAGTAGAGTCTGGGTTGATGCTCTGTCAGATGGGTAAACCCATGATTGGGTAATTTGGCTCAGAGATATCAGTTACTGATTTGGTGTCACAAGTCCTGCTCTGGAGCCTGTCTTATTTAATTCCCTAGTAATGAGCTTGAGAAGGAACTCTGGCAGGTGATGTCAAATGGGGTGACCAGCTGATGCACATGTGGGATGGGCCATACAGAGAGACCAGAACAAGGAGAAGGAAGGACCCAAGAGAGACCCTGTATCTTTGCGTCAAGAGGAACGAGCAAGTGGCCATAATCAGCTCTAGTGATAAGGTTCTGGGCCTGTGTTAGACAGTGAACTGATCAAGATCAGAGAGGCTAGAGTGAAGTGGATAGGTCCAGGCAGTGGGATAGGTCACAGGAAAGTGGTGTCACCTCTCTTCTTGGAAGGTTTCCAGCCCTCAAGAGGGAAAAGCCTTAGCAACATTGTTTGACTCCACAGCTCACCCCCTTCTGGGAATGGTATTGGAGTAGGAAGTTTATAAACATATTAGACCTTGTTTTTTTAGAAAAGCAAAAATATCATTTGATATCCGGTACAAAAAAGACGGGGACTTCTTGGAAGGAGTCCAGCGGAGGGCCACAAAAATGGTGAAGGGCCTGGAGCATCTCCACTGTGAAGAAAGGCTGAGTGAACTGGGTCTGTTTAGCCTTGAGAAAGGGGATCTAATCCAGGTTTATACAAATCTGAGGTGTGGGGGCCATAGTAGTGAGGCCAGTCTCTTTTCAGTGGTACATGGAGACAGGACAAGGGGAAACAGACATAAGCTGCAGCACAGGAAGTTCTGCACAAATGTGCGCAAGAACTTCTTTATGGTGAGGGTGATGGAGCACTGGAACAGGCTGCCCAGGGGGGTTGTGGAGTCTCTTCTCTGGAGATGTTCAACTCTCGCCTGGAAGCCTACCTGTGTGACCTGGTGTAGGGAACCTGCTTTGGCAGGGGGGTTGGTCTAGATGATCTCTAGATTTCAACCTACAATTCTGTGATTCTGTGATTCTGTGATGTGAGTGATTCTGTGATTCTGTGATGTGAAACATCATATATAGTACAAGGGCAAAAATATGGATTTTGCAGATAAAACGTTCTCATCGTTCTTGTAGTGAACTGCAGCCTTATTGGCTAAGAATTTTTTGTTGTGCAAAGTAAGATAATAGGCAGTGACCTGTTTCCAGAATTGTTTGGAATAAACAGCTCTAAAAATGTGAGCTACTGGAAGATATTTAACTGTGTTTTATGGTAGCTGTTTTCCAAGTTTAGGCAATAAAAATCCACCTAGGAGAGACAAAGAGAGTTGAGATTTCAGTAACGGGTAGCATTCAGTGAAAGGAGCTGACATGCTTTTGAATTCTTCTGGGATCAAGAGAAGGAGAAAGAAGGTTTATTTATTTTTGGAAATCATACCTTAGCTGCTAAGAGCAGCTTTCACAGACCTTCTTAGTTGGCTGTGGTCCAGATAACCTTTACATAAATCAGCATAGCGAGTCTTAAGAATGAATTTCACTCCAACATGAAGACTCTTCAGAGCAGTGAAGAATCCTTATTCTAATTCCTCATTAGTGCAGCGCATCTTTTTGGGGGGAGGCAGGAAGCATTCACTGCTTAGACACACAAACACTGCCAGGTGGGATGAATCAGATCAGAGTATCGTGTTATTTAAAGGATGAGAGTTTTAAGAAAAAATAATAGTGATTTTTAGATTTTGCTCCTGAAGTATAGCTTTAGACACCTTTCTACTCTGCCTCTGAGCAACAGGACCCTTAATTGAGTATTAAAACACACCTAAAAAATAAGGTCCTCCTTATTAAAGAGGCTATATAACTTCACAGCTTTATAAATATTTCCAGTTTTACTTCCTTTTAAACACCTGTCTGACATGACTATCACTCTTTTCCTTTTGTATCTGAAGTTGTGCTGTCATTCATATTCTCCTACCGCTTGGGTCTTCCTCTGGATTCTTAGAAGTGAAAAGTTGTTGAGTTTTCACTCTTAAGTCCTGCTTTTTCATCTTTCTGATGCTGTTCAGAATGACCCAGCTTTGGAAACTCCCCCATGTGCCATGGAAATGATTACTATCTTCTAATAATGAACAGGGGATGCTTTGGAATACAGAAAATAATATTAGCTTTGTAATTTATTTCTCTTCTCCTTTCATGCTCTCGTTTTTATTTTATTCCCTTATTTCCCTTTGGAGATGTTAAAGATGACTGCATATAGTTCTGTCCAGGCTTATATCCTGTGTTGGGGAAAGTCAGTGAAGAAACTATAAGTGTGCCCATGCAGAAAAAACAACTAATGAATATACAGACTTCTCCAAAATGGATTTGTCTATGTTCAAGATACGTTAATAGAAAAATTTTGAACTAAAATGTTTCTGAAAACAGATGGTGATCACGACAAGCTGGTTAATGTGATTTAAAATATTTTTCCTATTTCCAATTAATAAATAAAAATGATTTCATTTCTCTAATTAACAGACTGGAGAGCTTGGGAACAAGGCACGGAGAGAATCTGAATTATCTGGAACACAAAGGGAGACGTGTCGTTCCAGATCCAATATTTTACTATTCTTTATGCTTCCTTACGGAAACAATTTGGAAACAAAACACTACAAAATTCAATTTCAGAAGTGGTAAATGTTGTTAGATACTTAAACAGCTTAATTTTTAAAATTAATTGAATAAATTATTTAACTAGTGTTATTTTTGAAATTTTGATTAAATTTAAAAGAGCTTTTTTTTGTCTTTAAGTTATTTAAAAGAAAAATTACAAAATATCGGGGTAAAATTCTTCATCTAGAACAAGTATTTCTCCATATGTCTGCTCAAGATTCAGGTCAAAAGGAAAATTTGAGCAGTGAAGGGTATTTTCTGTTGGAGGGAAATCATAACTATATGTAAAGTAGCAAGGATTCTGGTCTGTTATTTTTAGATAGGATGCTTTGTGGTGTCTTGATGGAGCACTTATATAGACCAAGATGAAAATTGTAATCTGTGGCAAAAAAAAAAAAAAAAAAAAAAAAAATAAAAAAAAAAATAGTGTTTTATAGCACAGATTAACATGGCATTTTGAAAGTGTAGTCTTCAGAATAAAATAACAATCTTAGCAATAGTCTGCCAAAGAAATATGGTACACTTTTGATTACTTTGCTCTAACTCATATAAAATCAACTCAACCTTCTTGGGCTGTGCTGCTATATATATCATGGCCTTATTTCCACAAGTGTAGATCACTAATTATTTCATTGTTGCTTTCACATTTGTTCTGTCCACAACAAAGCCTCTAAACAAATAATCTATGCACTTGAATTAGATTTGGTAGAATTTTGCCAACTTCGTTTGCCTCAGCGCAGGATAAAGACAGAGATGGAAAATTTCAATAACACTGTATTTATTTTTAAACATCACGTAGAAGTTCCGTCCTATGCAGATCCTGTACAAGCTGACCCTCTCTTCCTAGAGATCTCAGAAGTCATTTTTATACATTGTATTCAAAGTAATTTATTTTCAGCCCAGACTTAACAACTATTCAAAACTACAGCATTTTCCACTTCATTTTGAGAGAACAACATTGATATAACTAATATTTTTAAGATAGACCAATGTCAATTTGTCATTTGATGACTCATTGGTGAAGTTTTAAAAAGAAATCATCTGAGTGTTTAAAAAATGCAAATGTTCGTTGTCACATCAAGAAAAGGAAAAGGATGTGGAAAGAAAAAGGTATTGAGCATAGTAGGTAAAAGCCATTCAAGTGTTCATTTATTCATGCTGGTGTTTCATCGCATATTTGTCCCTGTTGAATCAGATCACAATTAAAATCGAGAATAACGGCGCTCTTGAAGATAAGGAAACATAACATCTACTGCTCGTTATATGTCATATGTTCAGTTGAAATCACATCTACCAAGTTATCATTAAAAAAAAATCTGAGAGTAGAAAGCATTTTGGATTACCTTATAGAAATTACAAAAGACAGAGATTAGGGTGATTCCAGTGTCCGGTGTATAGTAAATTAATTTGTGGCTTTGTTGACAATAACAGGAGTACTGATAGAAAAATTTCTCAGGAGCTGTAAAAGAATGCTTGCAGAAAAAATAAGCCAACTGAAAAGGCAGTAACAGGAAAGCAAAGCTCAAACAGGAAGGAAAAGGTGTCAGTTTAAAATTATTTCTTCTAACAGTTGGAAATTATTACTTTTCATTTCTGTGCTTTATATAGTATTAGGGCATACTGCCATTGGAATCAACACTATTGTAGAATCTTAGAATCATAGAATCACCAGATTGGAAACAACCTGCAAGATCATCTAGCCCAACCGTCTCCTCATCACCATTGCCACTACAAGCACTAAGCCATATCACGCAGCACGTCATCCAGATGCCTCTTGAACACTGCCAGGAACGGCAACTCCACCACCTCCCTGGGCAGCCATTCCAGTGCCTGACCACCCTCTGAGAGAAAAAGTTCTTCCTTATGAATAATCTAAACCTCCTCTGATACAACTTGCAGCCATTGCCCCGTGTCCTGCTCGTTGCCTGTATCATGGCTGTTGAGGAAAATTTTGTTAGATAGCTCAGAAGTTCTCCAAGGTTATGATACTGGAGAATCAGACTCAAGGCCGGGGTCACAGGTAAGGTGTCAGTTTACAAATGTAGCCCTTCAAAGGTAATTTAAAATCCAAATCCAGTTCCACCGGGCTATTTAGAGTAAAGGAAAATGAGGATGATCGAGGAATATTTATTACATTTGCCAGGAA